TGGAAACCCCGTGTGTGTCAGAGTAGAACTTTGCTCTATAGAGTCTTCAGTGGCTGATTTTTTGCAAGTGGATTGCCAGGCCTTTCTTCCAAGGCACCTCCGGGTAGACTCTAACCTTCAACCTTTCAGTTAACAGCTGAATGTGTTGTGTACCGAGAGCATTCTAATTAGGGGAACTGCAAGGAAAAAGACCCTGTGACAGAGGAAACATTATAATTTCAAAAGACAGAAAGATTGCAAAAGCCTGTGTGGCCAGAACAGAGAGCAAGGGAGAGGAAATAGATGAGAAATGACGCTGAAGAGGCTGACAGGTAGGGGCCAGATGACAGGGGGCCATATTGAGGCATTTTATCCTTTTTCTAGCATCAGTGGGAATTCATTACAGGGTTTGGGGCAGGGGTGTGTCACAATCAGGCGTTTTGAAAAGGTCACTCAGAGTGCATTAGTGAGGCTCTTCAAAGGTATCACCATTTCCATAACGCCCACCTTTCCATGTGAATAGACAAATTCTTTTAGAAATTTGAGTACAAAGTAGTTGTCAGATTTTACAGCATTTTCCCTTTTAATCTGAAGAGTGTAGTTTGTGTTGAGACAGACATCTTACACAAGCTGTTATGACTCCTCAAACACATCTAGCAAAGTAGATATACCCAGCATCAGTAATATGGATTTCTTTTTTCTTTACTTCACACATTTCTATTTAGGAAATTTTTAACTCTAAACTTAAGGAGCTATGCACTGGTACTAAGTTGTGGTAATACTATGATGTGTGAGTCACTGAATAGTAAAATTACAACTCAGTTGTAGTTACAGCAAAGTACTGTTAGATTTTCTGTGTTGATGTTTGCTGCATACCTTCAGTTGAGATTTAAATATATTCATTTGTTAAATAAACACTTAATACCTGGGGCCGGGAACTCTTTCATATCAATAAGGAAAACGATTATTTAGTATAAATATCTCTAACATATGTATAACATTTTTATTATGAAATTGAATTTTAAAGTGAATTGTGTTTTCTCATTAACTTGTGATTTCAGAAATGGTTTATTTTCATTTATGAATAAGCTTTAGCTGGAGTGGATAACTTTGTTTTACTATTGGTCCTTTTTGCAAGTATGTAATGATCTTTAAACACATGAGGGTACTTGTATGCATTAAGGATAACTTTATTTAAGGGAACTCTGGCATGCACTCTTCGGTAAAGTAAAGATTTTGTTAAATTCACACTCCCTAAAATGTATCTCAAAAATTCATATTTTTTAGGTATCTTTGAAATTTGGAAACTGTATTTTAACCACTTATCTCCCTCCTCATTTATTCTTTTTCATTAATTCAATAAACCTACTCTTTTCCAGACAGTGTTGTTTCATCCACACAGAAACAAGATAGAAAATTAGTTCCCAGGCATAAATATGTTTTTTTCTGAGATACTACCTTGAACCCTTATAACCAAATTTAAGAATTAGAATAATTTACAGAAAACATTGACTAAGTTTTATTCCAGTTAATATTTAGGTATCAAGGAATCATGAAGGCTGGGGGTTATTTGAATCATTGCATTCAGCTTGGATTTGCCCAGTAAAATCCCTGTATACCTTCAAAGCACACATACGTCTATCAATATTTTTCCTTCACGTGCTATCTCTGTTTTTTGAAGATGAAGACACTGAAAAAATCAGTAGCCATAGGTACCATAGTGAAGTAAGTAACTAAAAGGAGAATGGAATCATAATTTTAAAAATCTTGAACTTTTAACCTTTTTTTTTATAGACGTGGCTCCATTTTGAGTGGTGGTGCTGTTTCAGTCTGGCTTTGTTTATTACCAAATTGCAGCTGAAAGAAAGCTAGTTAAGAGTACTTCTGTATTGTTTTTGTTGTTGTCTTTAGAGTCTGCACAGTAATCGTGATTACAAGAAATGTGGATCAGCAGTAGGCCATACATAGATCATACCTCCACAAAGAACAATTGTGCATCCATTCAGATACAGATGGGATAACTTCTACTCTTCCTACTTTTCTGGGAAGAGTTGGAAAAGATACCGAAGTGGCCTAGGGAAAAATGCATTGTATCAACGGAATTTGCCCTAGTTACTTTGTGGAGATTTTTTTCAATATTGCTGATGTAGATAATTTAATATGGGTAGCAGGTTGGTACCCAAAACACAAAACATGATGGAGAAAGGAAATGAAAGTTGAAGTACCTCTGTTTGAGGGAAACTGCTCCCTAGAAGCAGAAGCTGTGATGATTGCCATAGGATACTCCCTAGACTGGAAGCCCCCACTATACTAGTTACTAGTTATAGGATACTAGACTAGACTGTATAGGAGACCCTAATGTTTGAATCCTTAATGTTTCAAACTTACTTAATGTCTCCTTTCTTTTACCTCTTCAATTCATCTTGTAGAGGAATAGGACTAGATGTATTAATTTTAGATATAAAAGCTTCAAGGCTCACCTAAATTGTTGTCATCAGAAACTTGGAGCTATTTCAGTGAAGGAATGTTCAACAGACTGAGCCAATAACATGTCTCATATTTCTACTTCCCAGGGAGCCGTGGTGGAGCAGTGGTTAAGAACTCGGCTGCTAACCTAAAGGTCAACAGTTCGAATTCACCAGCCGCACCTTAGAAACCCTATAGGGCAGTTCTACTCTGTCCTGTAGGGTCACTGTGAGTCAGAATCGACTCGACTGCAAGGGTTTTTGGATTTTACTTCTCAGAGAAAAAGAAAAGAAACATATATATATATACACATACCCATACACACACATGTATGTATGTATATGACTGAACTATCCAGTAATACTATTGTCCTTATATATTGAAAAATTACTTAGCTCTGTGTATCAGTGGAGCCCCGGTGGCACAGTGGTTAAGATTTCAGCTACTAACCAAAAGGTCGGCAGTTTGAACCCACCAGCCACTCCTTGGAAACCCTATGGGGCAGTTCTAAGATGTCCTATACCTGTTGCTGTCAAGTTGATTCCCGACTCATAGTGACCCAATAGGACAGAGTAGAACTGCCTCATACAGTTTCCAGGAAGCGCCTGGTGGATTCGAACTGCTAATCTTTTGGTTAGCAGCCGTAGCTTTTAACCACTACACCACCAGGGTTTCCAAGATGTCCTATAGTGTTGCTATGAGTCGGAATCGACTCAACAGCAACGGGTTTGGTTTTGATTTTATGTATCCATGTTTAGTCATCTATTACTCTCTTGTGTTGCTCTGTGGATATGTTGACATCTTTTTTAAAATTTTTTAGCCTTTAATGATAGTGATTAATTTTAACAACTTCCATATTTGACATTGGTTTGATCTTTTTATTTTGTTCCCTGCTTTTTGCATTCTCCTTCCTGACCCTCCCTCTTCATCCCATTTTTAATTGTTGGATTGTTTTGTTTATGTGTCTGTGTGTGTTTTTATTTTTGGTTTTTGTTGGTCTGGTGGTCTCTCCTTTCTTCTTGTTCCTGACCTCATGTGCTATAGCCTCACAGGCTGTGGAAGCTGGCCGAGCAGGTAGGGGACTCTCCATTCACTCCATACCAGTGCCTACCCTACCCTACTGTCTTCTCCTCTTCCAGCAGTGAGGCAGACTAGAAGTTGAGTGCAGAGATGACTGAGGGGTTGCGCTAGACCCTGTGATGCAAGAGTACAGATGGCCCAGGGTGATGTAATTTTCTCAGACCTCTTCAAACAGTTCACTCTTATGACTAATGTTTTACTTCCATTGTACATAACCAATGGTTTGCTTCATCTCTGTTTTACTTCATTGTCCACTTCTAGTGACCTGTTTTATGATTTGTTTATTTTTTTAAATTGGCCTTCTCTTATGTGTTTTCCATTGTTTAAAACATCAAACCACTTCTCCACTCGTGCTAGTCTGTAACACAGCTTTATGGAATAGTCATAGAGTTAGAAAGAATGTTCTTTGTATTGTACTATCATTGTAAGCTTCCACCTAGAGGATAATTTGCATGTGCTGTTCTTTTTCTCTGTCTTGGTCATGGGATACTAATGATCAGAATTATTAAGTGGTATAGTATATTTTTAATGAATTTGTCTTTATTTTTGCTTTTTTCTTATATTTAAACATTCCTTTGGTGCAAGATTAGGGTCTGCTTCTGAAGAATTTTAGTGTGTCTCTACATATACATTCTGAAGGGCTCCCTTATTTTTTGGCAGACTTGTTTGAGGTTTCACCTGTTCCACCCAAGGAATTACATTGCCTTCCCAAGAAACTTATGTAGAACTTTGGTTTGTCATGTAGATTTAATGACACTGCTCTTATATGGGAAGAGCTCCCTGGTCAAAAGTCACCCTGGCATACTTTTTTAAGGGATTTATGCCACCAAGATAAGATTTCTGGCCCCCCATGTTAAATAAATAGATAGTTCAAGACCACAAAGTCCTGCCCAGCTGACTAGGGGTAAACATACAACCTCTCGTACCTAAGTCACTGCTAGTAATAACCTCCTGAGGTTGTGGGGGAAACTAATGACAAGTAAAACTAAAAGGAACAAAATAATCATCTCTAGCTCCCTCTCCCTTAATCTGTGTCAGTTCACGTCATGTTCTGCTTCGATATCTTGAGCTCTAAATATATACCTTTTCGGATGCATGTAGTAAAAGTTTCTCAGCAAATTACGTTTCATATCCTTGATACCTGCTTCTGCCAGCCATCCACTTTCTCAAACGTCAGCCTCGTTTTACTTATCAAAATGTGTAGCATGTCTCACTTGTTTCTTATTTTCATTTATGTGATTGATAGTCAAGCTATGTAAAAGTCCAGTATTATTTTAATAAAATGTTCATTTTGGATTTTCAATTATCGAACTGAAAGTTAACAGGTATCTTGGAGAGCTATGGTTTTAGTGCTTTTAATTTTTTTTCAGTTTGAGATTTTACCAAAGAAAATACTTAATCGCTAGTAGAAAGCACAAGAGCCTGATTGCTTTCCCCTCCAACTTGAACTAACCACAATCTGTCATTGCTTACAGGGGACCTCTGGACCTGACCCAACGACTGTGTATGTTGATATGAGAGCCCTGAGACATGACAGGTATGATTAGCTTGTGACTTTTTTTTTTCTTTCTAGTTGTCCAGCATCCCCATGCCCATTAGAAAAAAGAAGTAGCAATGTTTATCTGCTCAAAGTCTAATTATCTGAGGACTAAAACTGTAGGGTTGGGTGAGGTAGCATTTCTTTATCCGTGAGCAAAACGCTAGAACTTTAACATTTCACCACTTTCTGATCTGTGTTTTGTTAATGTACTCAATAAGACAATATTTTTTTTGTTTTCAGATGCAAATGAAAACTCTACTACACAGTAGCGAGCTGTGATGAGAGTTGTTTTATGTAGCAGTCTAACCATAAGACAGGCAGTTGATTCTTTTCCCTGGACATTTTCCTTAGGCACCATGTTGCACTTCATAAACATTCTGCCCACATTTCTTCACATGAATTGAAATTTTTTTGTAAAGAAGTTTGCATGAAAAATTAAGATAGAAGTCAAGTTACCTTTTCTGTGTAGCTTCCTAAGTGGCCTCATGGGCAAGAATAAAAGGTGGAGTTTTGTTGGGTGTTTATAAGAGCCTCAAGGAAGGAAGGAAGATGGAGGTTGTCTTAGTCATCTAGTACTGCTATAACAGAAATACCACAAGTGGATGGTTTTAACAAAGAGAAGTTTATTTCCTTTCAGTAAAGTAGGCTAAAAGTCCAAATTCAGGGTGTCAGCTCCAGGGGAAGGCTTTCTCTCTCTCTTGGCCTTCTCATCAGTGTTCCCCCAGACTAGGAGCTTCTCGGCGCAGGGACCCCGCTCCAAAGGACACACTCTGCTCCTGGCACTGCTTTCTTGATGGTATGAGGTCCCCAACTCTCTGCTTGCTTCCCTTTCTTTTTATCTCTTGACAGATAAAAGGTGGTGCAGGCCACACCCCAGGGAAACTCCCTTTACATTGGATCAGGGATGTAACCTGGGTAAAGGTGGTGTTACAATCCCACCCTAATCCTCTTTAACATAAAATGACAATCACAAAATGGAGGCCAACCACACAATTCTAGGAATCATGGCCCAGCCAAATTAATAGACACATTTTTGGGGGGACATAATTCAAACCATGACAGAGGTGGAAACAAGGAGAGAAGACCATTAGAGGAATCTCTGCCCTAACAAGTTGAGCCTATTAAAATGCCTAAGTGGGAAGACAGGATTTTACTATTTTTACTATAGATATTTCCCACTGAAATAGATCATTTTCTGTTTGGTAATTATAGAGATGTTGTTCACATGATGTGATTAACAGTAAGAACATTCCGTAATATGTGGTGTCTTCTTTCATAAATTATTAACAGGTACTCATTGAAGGTGTTGCTATGTGCCAGATACTATGTTAGTTACTTCGTATTTTTTTTCATTTGTTCACCTGACAACATTATATCGTTGTGCTCATTTAGCATATGGAAAAATAGAGTAGGAGTGGTTTAAATAGTTAGTATGGAGACTTGGAAGCCCATCCCGGGTCTGACTGAATTTATAGCCTGAACGTGTTCTTCTACGACAGGAATTGCTGGTTTGCTGTGTATATGAGTGTGTCATGGGGTGGGGGTCGTGGTGGTGAAGATGGGTACAGAATACCTGTTTGAGTGACATTTATGCAGTTCTGTCTATGCCTGGCCCTCAAATACATGAAGAACAATTATTGTAAGAGAATATGGATACAAACTGCTGACCTTTGGGGCATATGAGGATAGATTTCAGGTTTAAACTGACCAATCTACAAGAATAGTAATCAAAAGAGGATAATTTACCTCATTTTGTATTATGAGTGTCCTGGAATATTGGGGAAGGTTGAGACTACGATTTATCCCTCCTGGAAAAGGACAGAAACACCTGAGAAACTCCTTTTTACCAATTTCTTGGCCTACCTTTTGACTGTCCTCAGTGGTGGCACATTTGCCTGGTGAGAAAGGGTATGATTTGGGAAGATTGAAAGGAATATAGAACCAGTAAAATGTATGACTGTAGAGTAATAAAAGTTCAATATCAGGTCAATAACTTTATACTAGAAAGAGTCAGGACACCTGAGTCCTGGTATAAGCTTCCTTTGTGATATACTAATTCTTTGACCTTGGCCAAGTCAACTAACTCTTGTAAGTGAAAGTTTTGTCCTATTCTGTAAAATAATCTATAACTCATATATTCTCTGGCTAGTTCACCAGCTCATTATAAAAAGCATCTGATAATAGAGTAAAAGTGCTTTGTGAACTGGAAATTGCTATGCAGTTATACTTTATTAAAAATAACTTTCAATAATTCATTGATAATTATAATTAATAACAATGTTAATTATTGTTAGAGTGATTCAAATATGTTCTTAGTAGGGACTATACACATAACTCAGCCAGACTGCCATTGCTTAAAACATGTTAGACATTTCTCTGTGTCTACCACTGTCTGGGCCTACTCATAAAACCTCAGAATCATACTTTGCACATCTTGTTTAGTCTTTGTTTTGATCAAAAATGGCCTTAAGACTCTGCATCAACCATCCTAATCACAAGATTGTTATCTGAATGATTTTTAACTATTTCTAAAAATCAAATTTTCTCAGTTGGCACATTTACTTCCATTGAAGTTGTTTTTAAGAGTAGGTGGATATTTCTAAGAACAGCTCCCCAAGAAGAGTGCCCCAAATGTTCTAAAAGTCCTTGGAATAAGCATTTGACCGCACACCTCTCCCCCGTCTCCCGCCAGCCACTGCCAAAGGCTATTTTGAAAAGGCTCAGGCTCATTCAACAAGCTCTTGGGTGTACGCACACATACTCTTACACTTTTAACCAATCACATTATTTTATAATTGCATCTTAAACACAAACAGAATTAGGAATTAGTCATCCAACATTGAACATCCTTGAATAAACATAGCAGGATTTATTACATGGGCAGTTTGATAAGATGGCCGCTCAGGCAGAATGATATTGAAGTCATTAAAGCTTTTACTGCCTACTTTTTTTTTTTTTTATAAACAGTGCATAGCATATGAAAACACACTGCCAAACATCTACACACGTACACTCACACGTGTACACACATATGCTCACACACACTGACACAGTATGGACGCTTGTCAAGCTACTAGAGTCTAGTATTTTAAGACTCACAATGCAATAGTGAAATGCTAAACCAGCATCCCTTGAGACAGCTGGCTCCACAATCTCAGCAGAAACACAATCCTACCTAAGCTCCTATCTCTGTTCAATCTTTCTATAATAGGGTGGCTGTTTGTATGGCTCTGACTACCTCTGTCTGTCCCTTGGGGCTCCTCAGGCCCTTGGCCCTTGGCTAAGCTATAGAAATAGGACACTGAACCCAACTCTTCCTCTGGAACTCTCTCCCCAAACATAAGGCCTTATTGAAGGTATAAGGCAAAGAGATTGGAGGTTACTAGGAGCCCCTCCCTGTTGAGGGGAAGAAGCTGAGCCCTTTAAGCAACAAGCTTTTCCTTCCGGAAAGACTATCGTTTTTGAGAGTTTCATGTGCTGCTCTTGCTTTGTCACTATTGTTCATGCTTTCCCCCTTGTATTCTGTGTTCTCTCTCCAACTGTCCAAGGAGAGGCAGGGAATGGTAGCTTGAAGGGGAAGCTCATCGAACACACACAAAAAAAGGTTTTCAGTAGACTTTTATCGTCTTCCTTTTTTTCAATATTTGACTTAGAAAAAAAACAATATGAACCAAAGCAAAAGCATGCAGTGTGCTCTGGAACATTATGTGACAACTTCTTTTAGTGTAAATTTTGTCCCCAACACTTCCCTTGTGCTGTCTCACACTCACCAGTTAGGAAATTTGGTGGACACTCTTTACCATGCCTTCCTGAAATGTGTTCACGGTACTCTAATGTCTTGAAATGTTCATTCGTTCTCTTCCCTCTCGGGCTCCCTTGCTCTCTTTTTATTTTATTTTTTTTAATTTTACTAGGTTTTAGGTGAAAGTTTGCAGCGCAAATTAGTTTCTCACTCAGAAATCTATACACAAATTGGTTTGCAACATTGGTTGCAATCCCCACAGTCTGTCAGCACTCTCCCCCTTACCCTTTCCACCCCAGGTTCTCTGAGTCCAATTGTCCAGTTTTCCTGTCCCTTCCTGCCTTCTCATCTTTGATTTGGGCAGGTGTTGCCCATTTGGTCTCATGCGTTTGCTTGAACTAAGAAGCACGTTCCTCACTTGTGTTGTTATTGTGTGTTTTATACGCCTGTCTAATCTTCAGCTGAAAGGTGGTCTTTGGGAGTGGCTTCAGTACTAAGTTAGTAGGGTATCTGGGGGCCATAGTCTTGGGGGTTCCCCCAGTCTCTGTCAGACCAGTAAGTCTGGTCTTTTTTTTGAATTTGAATTTTGTTCTACGTTTTTTTCCCACTCTACCCACAACCTTCTGTTGTGGTGCCTGTCAGAGCAGTCAGTGGTGGTAGCCAGGCACCATTTAGTTCTTCTGGGCTTAGGCTGGTGGAGACTGTGCTTCATGTGGTCCATTAGTCCTTTGGACTAAAATTTCCCTTGTGTCTTTGGATTTCTTCATTCTCCTTTGCTCCAAATTGGATGGGACCAATAGATGTATTTTAGATGGCTGCTTGCAAGCTTTTAAGACCCCAGAAGCTACACACCAAAGTAGGATGTAGAACTTTTTATTTATGAACTATGTTATGCCAGTTGACCTAGATGTCCCCTAACACCTGGTCTCCAGCCCTCGGCCCCAGTAAGTCAGTCCCTCAAGGTGTTTGGATATGTCTAGGAGGCTTCTATGGCTTTTCCTTGGTCACGTTGTGCTGACTTCCCCTATATTGTGTGTTGTCTTTCCCTTCACCAAAGTTAAAACTTATCTACTATCTAGTTCGTGCTTTCCCCTCCCTATCCCTCTCCTCCACAGTAACCGTCAGAGATTGTTGGTTTGTTTTTTTTTTTTTTTGTATGTGTAAACTTTTTGTTGGGTTTTTATAATAGTGGCCTCATACAATATTTGACTTTTTGTGATTGACTTATTTCACTCAGCATAATGCCCTCCAGATT